TATGGAACTAAAATTACATTTTGTACCATAAAGTTGTTTGTTTTAAAATTAAGCCACATTACGTGGGGCGAGGCTACGGTAAGCCCCGCCCCACGATCTCACGCACACACGCGCATACGCACCTACAACTCGACATGGCTACTTGCAAAGTCCGTACTTGCAGAGAGCGTTATTTAAAAAAAACAGTATTAATACAGGTATTTTAAATTTCAAGACATATTGTTTGGTCAGTAAACTTGACCTAAACATCTAACGCTTTATTGTTTTAAATCAATTTATTTATACCTATAACGGGTTTTAATTAAAATTATCATTTCTTATCATACGTAGAACACAAGTGCAAGTAGCAAACACAACGAGTAGAAAGCGATGCGCGTGCGCACGCACACTCGAACGGTTCGGATCACCGGAGAAGGCGCGGCCCCCCGCCCCCCGACGTGACGTCACGCTCCCCTCCAACAACGGAACTAACCTAACTTACATTACATCGACAACACCGCGCCGCCCTCGCTACGTTTATATTTCTATATTTTATTCGTATAGAGAAGTGTTTTTTTTATATAGGTATTTTTATTTTTTTCTTCTATATGTAACATTTTTATCGGACGTCACCAACTTATGTCACTCTATATAGATAATGGTCTCCAGGAAAAAATTACTGTAAATTAACCTACATAGAGATCGCATTCGACTACGCCGGGAACGCCGACGAGTCCCGGACGCAGTCGGACGGCTCCGGAGCTATTTCTATGTAACCTTAGAGGGTGAAAAACACGCTATTTGTTATGACGTGTAGGACGCGGGCCCGCTGCTCACCCTGGGCCTGCGGGACCCGCGCGGGACTCTAACACTAACCACATACTTGTATCAAGTTAAAATCTTCATAAGTCCACCAAAATATAATGCGTCGAGTCTCCGTCTGTACCAAAATCGACTCAAGTACATAGTTACTAGTAGAGACAGAAACGATTACAATTATATAAAAACATTAACATTCAGTTCATTCATGGCGAAGCTACTCTCCTATTACGATGGCATTTTTTTTTTGTAACTTAACTTTTTAAAGATACATAATATTACAATATTGAAAACTACCTTATTGTTTCAAACATAAAGTCGCATTCAGCCCAATCATGTCGCGAGTTCGGCACTAACAGGTATTTTATAAAAAACATTTTAAGACTATTTAATCAAGTTGATGATGCTGCACTTTAAGATGAAAATCGCTTGCACCCACTCATCGTTTGACAATACGTTTTGATACTAATCATGCCATAAAGTGCAAGGTATTTTTAACTTAAAGCAGACCATTCATAGATACATACATACAAGTTTTAAAACATTACTGAAATTACCAGACCACAATGCTGTTTTGTTGCAAATATTATTATATAAAACCATAGTATGTGATTTTCTAGCCCAGTTTTTGTATAGAATTTTAACTCTTTTTACTTGCAAATGAGTACATTAAGAACGATATTCTTATAAATTCTTGCATCTCATTCTATTCCTTTAAAAAACATTGAAAATGTCTATGGTTCGATATTGAAATCTACAACAAATCAAGCAACTATGAACCTTATGGATATCAGAAATAGGTTTCGCGGTAAATCTCGATATAAATACATTTGTATGTCTTTACTTATGATAATCGAACAGAATAAACAATAAGTCATAATTACAACGTGAATAAAACAGACAATTTATAGTACTGATGTTTTGTATCACAAATTCAACTTAGATAAAAGAAACTCAGCTGAAAATATCTAAAAAGATTCTTACACGGACGGCCTGTAACATGAAATCTTAAAACCGACACAATGCGATAACTATCGCTAAGTGTCCGTCTCGTGGTACAGGTGATGTTAACAAATTTTTGACTGAGTAGTAAGAAAATAACAGTGATAATAAATATCGTTATTACTGGGTACATGAAAAATCATAATTATTATAACAATTGCGGTATATTCGATAGATACAATAAAAACAAGTGTTTCTGTGTAAAATTTGCAAACGATTATAGAACTTAAAAGCAATGTAAACAATATCACAGGAAAAATATTCCTATAATAGGTATGGAAATTGTTTGTGTATGCTTGTATATAGCATTATTCGTCATTGTTTATTTATATTGTATAGGTAAATAATTATATTATAACAAGTGTCCGTCAAATGGTCGATATCCAAACCATTATTGAAAATTTGAAAAAAAAAACCTCATGAATTTAACTTTTTTTTCAAGAAAGACGAAAAATATGGTACTAAATTATCCATACAGAGATATGAATTGTGTATCTGTAAATATCTATTAAAATAAACAACAGATTTTTTGACAATGTGATATTATCAACAGCCTTTAATAGTCCACTTCTGGAACCAGGTTTATCAATAGAAATGATGTTTATTTACTACTAGCTGAGACCCGCGGTGTTACCCGCGTTTGTTGTTATAACCGCGGGCGACGCCGCGGGGCGAAGCTAGTCTAAAAAAAGTAGCCTTAGTTACTCTTTATGTCATCAGCTATCTGCCAGTGAAAGTCCCGTCGAAATCGGTCCAGCCGTTCCAGAGATTACCCGGAACAAACAGACAGACAGACAGACAAAAATGTTATTTTGGCATATGTACCGTGTAAACAGACATATGAATTTAGTAAAAAGCGGTTATTTTAATATTACAAACAGACACTCCAATTTCATTTATTTGTATAAATGTGATATATATTTACATTACTAATAAATTCCACATAAGTTTATCACAAAGCAACTGCGGTTGATGCGACGTCCGCATGCAGGTCGACGCTTAAAGCTACCATAAAAGGTGAAACTCCGGGGTGATGTAGTCATAATAAAAAAAAAATTATAATGAAAAACAAAAAAAATGCATAAATACATTAGTAAATTAAGTTTTAGTTGTAAGGCACGCCCGACGCCTGGTGTAGTGAAGACCCTTAACTACTGCGTCCTGCGCACTCAAATACATACTTACATACATATATACACAAGCACACACGCACACACACACACAAGACCCGCGCCACACATGCACACGCACACACACTCATAGCGTACAACACTCACCTAATTTACTCGTATTTTAAAAGTTCACGAAATGATTTGTTTTTGCAAGGGCATTTTACATAACTGTTTAAAATGCAGAAATCAAACATGGAGAAATGTTGTACGTATATAGAGGGTGTAGCGAGTTCGGGGGCAGATCGTGTAACACAGGGTGCTTACATAACCAAACTTAAGCTATCCACATGCACCCGGCCGCGTCCGGCACATATAGGCGGAAATAACAATACAACAACATATATAATTATATTGACGTGTCTTTTCATTGATTTCATACATGATTTGAAAACTTTTAAATTTTAATGATATTTATTGGCCAAATAAATTCCGACCAATAGGTCTAACACATTAAACACAAATTACTCTGTCTAATACGACATCAAAAAAATCTGTAAGTTTCTTTTAAAAAACGAGCATTTTTTTTTTCAAATCATGTTTTTACACGATATGCAATAATAAACGTTGTTTTAACGTACCAATTTTATAGCCAATTTTACAGAAATTTTTAACGTTAAACGTCAAAAAAAAAAACAATTTATAAAAAAAAGAGACCAATATTTTACTTCAATTTAGAATCGAAAAACGTCTAATGACGTAACATATAACCCTATCAGATATATATTACATGGACCGCGGCCGCGTCCATCACACGTATATTTTAAATCCGTCGGATTGTACGCCTACGAGTATATCACAGCAGTGCGTGTCACTTATCTAATGATTCGAGTAACCGACGCGTGGGCCGGTTGTATACGAGCCCTGTAAACACCCGGTGCCTTAACGTTATATTGTGGGGTGACGCCGTGGGACGTTCTTTACGTGCTGTAGAATAGCGATGGGGAAATGCTTCCTTAATATCCGTAAATCCGTAAACCGTTAACGCGGGAATTCATATTATATATTAATGTGAACAATAAAATTATAAAGAAGTAAAAGCAGTTTATTGTAAAGGATGGCCCACGAAATCAGATCACCCCTCCGCACACACTCGTGCCTGTCGTATCTCAGTGTAAACAGACAAAAAACACTATAATTAAATAATCAATATTTAAAAAAAACACATACACCTACAAACTAGATAAGTGGGCATTTTACTTTCTTTTTTCTTTTCAATTGAATATTTATTATGTTTCGACAAAGCCAGGGATGTATTCGTTTTCCTTTTTTACCTATATACCGAATAATACCACACATATCGACTTATACTCTACATATCCTGGCTATAATATCATATAACTTAACAAAAACAATATGACTTATATTCTGGAATTACAACTCCATCTCGTTATAATGAACCATCAATCGTTCAATTTCATTCTCGTTATCATGTGCCGAAAACTATTTACACAAATGAGACAAAAAAAAAAGAGAAAAACATACAGTGATAATTTAAAAAATAAAGCTCAAAGCCAATGTCTAAAGTTAGTTATTTGTTTCCGAAACGATAAGAGCGACCACACCCGAAGTGGCCGCGAATGTAATTTAGATTAAAAAGGCCACAAATATGTTTTGTATTGAAAGAGCCAACGGGCCCCGACTACAGTCGCCGACATTCCTCCCCCCTCGTACAACGCATTCCTATCACAATAATAATCATCAACAAGAAATAAAATTGTCAAAGTGCAAACATCATTTAGTACCATGCTGAGAACGGCTGACGCGTACGTCGGTGGACGTCGCAGCGTCAAATATACATAACTACATAATAATCATATACAATACTATATACACATAATAAAGCATCAGGTTTTGTCGTATGTTGAACGTACGGAGACCGGAACGGAGAACGGAGTGAGGTGTACGTACTGCCTGGAGAGTGCTAGTAGGTACACAGGTTATTATGATGTGATGTAGCCGCAGGGTTGTGGCCGCCCGCAGGTGTCGGCTTCGTCGGCGAGCTCAGTACAGGGTGCTGATGCCAACGCATCAAATCCGGTTCGGCGCGCTACCCGTGAATGTGTCCTACACACACAAACCACCCGTTATTACATTTACATACACACCCTATAAAGTTGGACACTAAATTATTTGATGTATCAGAACAGTAAATAGTTGAGTAGCGATAAATGATCTTAACGTCCAAATTTTTTTTAAGCACTAGACTTTATTTGAAGACCCCATTTTTGCAAAAAAAAAGGTAGGTCAAATTTTCAACTTAAAATATTTCATCCTGAAGAAAATATTTAGCAGCGTGGCTACTAATTCAAACGTACAAAATAGTCTGGTTACGTAAAAAGTGAGATGAAGAATGCATTACATTCCTAGTGGTGAAAGCCTAAATGGTGCACAACGCTTGTACGAGTCGGAAAGTATACCACGACTCCGAAGACAAGGTATACTAAATCCATCGGTGCCTAACCGCCAAACAATTTTATCCGCAAATCAGAGGCTATTAGACTACGGACAGTTTAGAACCCCGTCACACGCAAGGGGTACTGCAAGGTCAAGACTTGCAATAGAAGTCGAGGAACAAATCTTCCACTTTTTTGAACGGGATCCTCGAGCAAGCACACGGGCCCGCAGCGCAACGCTTCCACGTAAGCCAATATGCAGTATGGAAGCTGATAAACACCGCTGGCTTGCACCCTTACCGTTATCACAAAGTCCAAGACTTACAAGAAACAGACCGGCGCCAATATTTTGTGGACAGACGAGGCCTTGATTACTCGCATCGGTTTGGACAACCAATATAACGAACATTGGTGGTCATATCACAACCCACACGTCGTTAGGCAAGATCTAAACTACATTTTGACTCTAGATATCTAGAAGACTACATTTTGAACATTTATTAAAATACATGAAAAACAGTAGTAGTAAGTTAACGTCGAATTGTTTTTTTTTTTTAAATTATTGCTTTTAAATTAAGTCAAGTTTTAGTAGTTGAATGTTATGTTAGGTACTTTATTTATCAATGAAATGTAGCGAAGTATGCGATACCGATGGAGAGGTCATTGACACTTGCGCGCCTACCAATTGCAGTGTGTCTATAAATTGCGAGTTCTTGAGACAACTTTGTGATGTTAATTACTCAATAATTTTGTACCATGTGATACTAAACTAAAATGCGGGTTAATCATAAATTTTACTATAGATTCTTGTGTTAATATGGACGGCAAATGTAAGGTCATGCTATATAGTACAAGCGAGATAATGCGATGACTACCGAGTGATAATATAGTATTATTTTCTAATTTATGAAGAGTCGATTCATACGGTTAGAAGGAAGAAGGAATGAAGAAGATTTATTAATGACCAGGGAAATAAACCAGATAATTATAATAATAACTATGTCCTAGGACATACTATAGATAGCTCTAGACCTAAACTAGGAGAATATTAATAGAAGCATCTAACATTTATGAATATGACACAATTTAGTTGCAAGCCATGACTTCTTAAGACATCAAGACAAAATAATGCCTGTTCCCTGCCTGCCTGCAAAATGAAGGCCACATTTTAACAGCTGACCATGTACAGGTCACATTTTAAAAGCTGATCATATAAATTACAGGTTACAGGTTGCCAAGCCAAGCCAATCTCAATCATATACATTCACTTTTAAAATATTAATTTTTATGCCAATTTCACATTCAAATTTTTTCTTTTCTTTTTTAGTATATAATCTAAATATTGTTTTTACCGAATACATACTATCTTTTATAGACTTGATGAATGGCTTTAATAAGTATTAACTTTGCTATCTAGAGAAACAATTAGTACCGAAATATTATTAAAACTAAAAAACTATACCGCAATGGGCGTGGCTTAAAAATAATCGATAATTGGGTATGTATTTGAGTAATTAAGTTGTATCGTGACATGTCGTGGTGTTTATTGGTGACATTTTTGAGTTATGTTCTTGATTTACTTATCCCAAAGATTGTTATTTTTTTCTTATTGTTGAAAATATTGATCCGTTGAATCGAATCGGATCGAAAAATGTACAGATTTTTTTTAAACGCTAAAGTGATAAAATATACTAGGCTGTTTTGTCTCCATATATTTATCTTTACATATAAAACTTTATATATATATATATATATTTTACTTAAGGACAACTGCCCTCAAGTAAAATTTAAGTTAAAAGAATAGGATATAGTCTAGAAATTTCTATATGGAGTGCGTTACGGGACCATTTCGTAAAAATGTTGCTCGCAGTTATGAAGAAAATTAAAATCTAAAGTGCATGGTAGCTTGATTGAATATTTTTTTTGTAAATATGCTACAGAGTACATGAGAATTAAGTTTTTTTTTGTTTACAAGCGTATTTGTAAAGTATGAAGAGTGCGTGTACGTACTATCTCGAGCGTGCGCGGTGCGACGCGGTCAGCGGGCGAGGGCCCCGCGGCTCCAGCCCCCGCGCCCGCCCCCGCACTGCCCGCGCTCCCCGCGGCACCCTGCGTGTACATCACACCGTCACCACACTATCTCGCTTGGTTCCAACACTCGGACCACATCAATATCGAACATTAGAGCTAATTACGAACAACATTGAATGGGTTTATCAGGCTAGTTTAACTAAAAGCTGTGCTGTGTTGTAGTGATATAGAATGATATTGGGTTAAACAAATTAAACAAAATGGACGACAAAAAAGTAAAGATTTTAACTTTTAGTTCAAGTAAATAATAAATCCAAAGATTTTTCTTTTGAAAATCGCAATGGCAAATTTTGTCAGCTATTTTTATTGACTATTTAGTAGTAGATTCAGAATATTTTTATTCCGAATATGATACTTCTTAACAAAATAGGAAAGTAAATTATTCGATATATTGTGTGTATTCATAGTGGTCGCTATGAGATAAGCAGTAGATTTCAGTACCTGATGCGAGTCGGTGGTCTGATGAGCGCGACACATTTTGTCGCAGTAGTCGGCAAGGATGTCGCGGAACCGCGTCCAGCACTTCTCGGGCACTGTGATCGCCGTGCGGAAGTTACTCTTCACCTGAGGAACGAATGAAGACTACCTCTATTACTTTACAACTATTGGAAAGGGTCACGATGTTACTGATGCAATGCTTTCTGGACTGGTTCGAGCTCGTAAGTCCTGTCCTTTGACAAGAAAAAGCCGATATGTTCGAATTTTTTTTTAATCGAAGCAAATCTTAACAGTCTATATTCTCTATTATGTTATGTTATTTTAAAAAGATAACTCCAGCTCTGGAAATATATCCTGTGTACGGGAAACGGACACAAAGAATACCCAGACTCCATATCTGGATCACACAGTGTTATTCCATTTGTTCCAAAATTGGTCCAGCCGTTTTGAAGATTTAGACATTGAGATATAGACTATTTTAAACATTATTTCCTTAAATTTCGTGCAAAAATTGTACAAACTTTAGTGCCTAACGCATTATCTGTCAGTTAAAATGTGTAGGTGCGAAGACATAATAAAATGTAAAGACAACAGAGGTAAGGGATTGAAGAAATACCAAACTTACGCGTTTTGAAATTGAAATTTTTGAGATGTTTGTTTATTAGTGATATGCCGAATATCCGAGGGAGAACAAGATCTGCATATGGATGCATATGTATATATACGAAGATGTATACAAACATGGGTTTGTATACATCTTCGTCTACATAACGCGGATATACATTTCTTATCCGCCACATCACTCATCATCATCATCATCATCATCAACAGCCTATAACAGTTCACTGCTGGACATAGGCCTCTCCTGATGATGATGATGATGGTACATATTCGTAACGTAACGTAACGTAACGTAATTCGTAACGTTCTGGTAAGCTGCACATCTACTTCTCTCGCTGATTATAATTTACTTACCTCGCTAACTTTCATGTAGATGCCGCGGTTGTTCTGACCTATGTCGAAATAAAAGTTCTTGTTGTCGACACGCAAGTGTCGACCCTCAGGCAGCTCGCCCTTGAAACTGTAACACAACAGCATCCGTTAAAACACCTGTAAATCATCAAACATGTCAGGAAAGAAAAATAGAGTAATTATAGGAATTATAGCAAAGATCTATATGAAAACCTAGACACACTTTTTATTTAAATTATTTGTGAAACCACATTTATTAGAATTTAAGAAAAAATCCCCAATTTTTTTTCTACAATTAAAGTCAATTTGTCTCGAATCATACCAAGTGTCTGCCTCAGCCGGGACCCATCTATCGGCGTCAGAGGCAAGAATCAGAAAAAAAGAAATCCATTAAAATCAAAAAACTTAATCATCTCAAACTGGAATAAATTTTTATTATATTCAGTGTAGTGGACAGGACATACAGGACAGTAAGGGGTATTAACTTTTGAATTGTCGCATACGCTGACATCACAATCTCAGAATTAAAGAGAGACAACTTCAAATTTCGTATAAATCTTTTATTAACCCTGAACAATTTTGAGGCAGAAAGAGACTGCCCATCATGCATTTTCTTTTTTAAAGATTTTCTTGTGCTTTCCCCACAAATTGCATTTTGAGTTGTATCACTTTTATTCTGAGGATGCGATATATTTGAACGTACGAGAAATTACGCAAACGTAATAGGTATAACATACCTTAGAATTGCCTGACGTTTCGACCAGGTTGTACTGACCGTAATCACAGTTTAACGACCTAACCGCCAGTGGATCACGTAACAGGTATATAATACCTATTACATGGCGTAAGTAAGGGATAATTTCCGTTCTTTGAATAGTATTATTTTGAATTTAACTGTGTGTGTGGAATTCGTAACTTTAAACGTAGATGAATTCAATTATTAACTGAATACTTGTGCAGTACAGTGGTGTAAATCTCAATGGGTTTGTCCATACTTGGGAATAATATTTGATTGTTAAGAACAACATAGATTCATTAGGACACAAGTTAGCTGACTCTCCTCTGCACGGCCACAGAGACATTTTTGTAGTATACGAAATAGGCAATCATTATGATTACAATCCCTATGATAACTAAACCTACTTTGATAGCTCAGTAGACATTGTATATAACCGACTGTAGCTATAACTTTAACTTACAACAAAACAAAATTAAAAAACATTCGTTTAACCTATTTCCTGTACACTAATCTATATTAGCGGCACAAAAATCCATTAAGCAAATAATGATATCGTCCAACAGCAGTGTTCACAAGCACGGTGCCATTAATGACTTCAGCAATCACTTCCCGCGATAATGCACAAAGTAGGTCGTATTTACGCAATATCAATCAAAATGTTCATACGATAAGACAGAGTTAACTGTTTAATATACAATTTTAATCCGTACTCGCATGAACTACAATGTTTCAAAACTTTCTTTATTAAAAGACTTCAGAAAAGCATGTTCTCAACTCGTTTTTTACATTACAACACTGTTTTGTTTTTTTTTTTAATTTGGGATGCTATACTTTCCGTTTAGTTCTATATAAATTTGGAGAAAAATGTATATGAATACCGCCGCCCATGACCTTCTGCAACTTAAAGTCTAAAGAATTAGGGAGATTGTTAACAAAATGTTGTTTGCGGGTGGGGACCTGGTGCTCTGTTTTACAGGCATATCTATGCCTGTCTCAGACACCATCTCCTCACATGTTAATACAGGCATAAAAGTGTGCTACGTATGTTTATCTACCGTTTTGTTGTTGACGGGGTAAAAAATCCCTTAGGATCTCCGGCTCCTCGGGGAAGCAGGAGCCAGGAGTATGTGGTGTTTCCACTAAAAACCACTCCGACAGCCGGTCTCAAGCGCCCTGCTCTAGGGAGGACCCAGACCATGTAATTTCAGGTTCCCCCCGGCTCGAAGCAGGCTTCCCCCCGTTTAACGGCCCAATCAATGTGTGTTGCGGCCTGATCGCATTTTGTGATCCCCATTTTATACAAGAGTTCTTACTCAAGATAGTTAGGTGCTTTTTATTTAACACGTTTAAATATTTTTACTGTTGTCGATAATTGTCTTCACATCACATCACATCAACAGCCTTTAATAGTCCACTGCTGGACATAGGCCTCTCCTTAGAAAGGAGGTTTTAGCCTACTATACCACGCTGGCCAGACGGGTTGGTATAGGGTTTGTGTCAAGTTATCCTTCTTTTGGCAGTGCTGTGCCTGTAATAGTCCACTGCTGAACATAGGCCTCTCCTTAGAAAGGAGGTTTTGGTCTACTATACCACGCTGGCCAGACGGGTTGGTATAGGGTTTGTGACAAGTTTTCCTTCTTTTTGCAGAGCTGGTGTCCTACGTTGTTTTGCGCCCTTAGTCGGCTCTTACGACACCCACGGGATGAATTGGGGTAGTGACATTCCGTATTCTTAATCCGTCACTACACGGACAATTGTCTTTTAATAGATAAAAATAAAATACTTAGAAATACATACACATTTCACAAAGCAGTGAAATGGTAGGTAAATGAATACCTATATAATTATTTTAATAGGTGAAGTGTTTGTATCCTATTTTAAGTTAATTTAATTGGTTAAATTTTGAATGAAATTGGATGTAATTTTATCTTTGACTAGCTGGTGCCCGCGACTTCGTTCGTGTGGGTTCGATTCCCGGACTGGGCAAAACTTTATAGCCTAAGTTCTCCTTATATAAACAGCTACCTGGTAGTAAAATATTATCAAAATTGGTATAGCCGTTTTGAAGAACAAACATACAGACAGACACAAAAAATATTTAAACTCGTTTTTGGGCATAGGTATCGTGCAAATAACCGTGTGAGCATTAAAATAACCTATTCTTTTGACATTACAAACAGACACTTCAATTTTATTTATTTGTCATCGATGATAGATATATAAGTATTAGGTTTTGCCCGCGGCTCCGCCTGTGTATTGTGGTAAAAAGTAGCCTATGTTACTCGCTGAAAATGTAGCTTTCCATTGGTGAAAGGATTTTTAAAATCGGTTAAATGGTATAGGCGTGAAAGCATAACAAACAAACAAACTCAATTTCACTTTTATCATATAAGTATGGATGTATTTTATCCGTTTGAAAGTTGTGCAAAAAAGGCATCAAGCAGATATGGGATTGTAGTACATATACCTATTGACCTGTGATGGTACTGAAAGTCCATAACAATGACAGTTCAAATTATACTGGTCAATCGAAACACAGAAATGATTTAATCTATAAACTATAAAAACATGTGTTTTTATCCTCATGGTAAGAAAGTTTTTTCTATACAAATAAATAAAATTGGAGTGTCTGTTTGTAATATTAAAATAACCGCTTTTTAGTAAATTCATATGTATGTTTACACGGTACATATGCCAAAATAGCATTTTTTACAATTTTTGTCTGTCTATCTGTCTGTTTGTCTGTCTGTCTGTTTGTCTGTCTGTCTGTTTGTTCCGGGTAATCTCTGGAACGGCTTTACCGATTTCGACGGGACTTTCACTGGCAGATAGCTGATGACATAAGGAGTAACTTAGGCTACTTTTTAGACTAGCTTCGCCCCGCGGCGTTGCCCGTGGTTATAACAACAAATGCGGGTAACACCGCGGGTCTCAGCTAGTTACTTAATAAATTGATAGAAATCTTTTTAAATCATATATTTTTAAATATTAACCAGATAATTTTAGAAATTTATTTGGCATCATTAAATAGACGAATTTGTGAATTGAATTGATTCTGCAGAATAAGGTTGAATTCATAAGTATAATTTGAACCGTCAGTGTATCGACTATATGTACCATAAAGGTCAACGCATACTGGGAATCTGTAGTTTCTGCAACGAATTACGGACATAATTCCACCACCAGATGGTCACTCTTTATGTAAAGTTTTAAAGTTATTCTTTGTAATTTATTTATAATTTTAGTTAACATTAACTTTTTATGGTATAGGAACAGGGCCTCAATTCTGCTATTTTAATATTGTATCAATAGACTGTCGATGGAATGTCGTCGAAATAGTTTTGCATTTTTCCTATTCTACTAACTATGACCGATGACATGTCACAGATACAAATGTCTTTGTAACAGTTTGGTAAACGGGACATTTTAAATTTGTAAGAAAATTATATATTTAATTTTCCAGGTATGACAATGTTGTTGATATCACCATTGATGACCGATATTACTATTTCGACAGTCTGTTGACACTGTGAATTTATGTTAGTAGAATACCGATATTTTGACCGATGTCAATGGCATCTCAATAGGGTGTCAATGGAATGACAGTGGCTTGTCGTTAAAATAAAATAGCAGAATTGAGGCCCTTGTCAAGTGATGGTAGGTGACTAGCATTACCATGGACGTACTTGACTTGCAGGTGGCAAGGAGTATACCTCCCCCCTCACCCTCCATGAATGGCACCGAAAGAATCGCTTAACACTTTTTAATGTTATTTTGTGCTTGGAAATTGTATTGCCACTTTTTATTTTATATTGTTCTTTTGTCTCGAGTGTATTTTTAATATTTAAGTTAAAAGCTTAATTTTAATATCCAACATTTTAGTGTATCCTGTGGCCTCTATAATTGAAAGAGTGCACAAGCCAAAATTTATTGGTTGTATAGTGTTTTTATTGTGTACATCTTTTGTTGGAGGTCTTCAATCCATACTATACATATAAATGCGAAAGTGTCTGTCTGTATGTCTGTTACCTATTCACGCCTAAACCGCTGAACCGATTTGATGAAATTTGGTATACTTATAGATAGTTTGAGTCCCGGGTAATGACATACGATAGTTTTTATCGAAGAAATCATTCTTTAAAGTGGTCGAAAATGGGGGGTAGAAGTTTGTATGGGGAATCAATAACCGCTAAACCGATTCTGAAGAAATTTGCTATAGATGAATGATTGATTCGTGAAAAAGGACATATGCTACTAATTACCGCGATAACCGACATTAATGCGGGCGGAGCCGCGAGCAAAAGCTAATAATAAATTCCGAACAGCTTTCCCACGGTAAAAGCGTTTTCATCATCATCATCAACAGCCTTTAATAGTCCACTGCTGGACATAGGCCTCTCCTTAGAAAGGAGGTTTTGGCCTACTATACCACGCTGGCCAGACGGGTTGGTACAGGGTTTGTATCAAATTTTCCTTATCTCATAAAAAGTGTTTTCATAAAATACATAAATTTTATTCATGGAGGATAAAAAATAAATCGCAAACGCAACAAAAGCAGCGGCCAACAGTGATTATTAAATATACACAACAGCAATATCGAACGTAGCAAAACCATAAAACACACAGTAAGTAGAATCGCGTATATATTTTACAATCGCATAAAATAGTGAAATGGCGCTTCGTGGCTTGCATCGATCGATACTGCTGTCTTGCCACTTGTGCGGTCACACGGCCTTATTGAATTAACGGTGTACTGCAAAATAGGCGTACAGAGTATGCAGCCTTCAATTACTGCTAATACCTTACTGCATCAACCTTGATGTTGCCATATGATATGCCATAACTATAGATTAGATCTTTCAACTAATTAATTATAGTACAATATATATTTTATCAGACATTTAAATGAATATGATTTTTTGTTAAAAATAAATTAGGTTCAATTTTATTTAGACAGTAAAAACTACAATTAAATATATGTTTACACCAACTTTTTTTTTTATAAATGCTCAAAAATACCTAAAGGTACATAATAAATTAAGTAATTAACCAATCCTAAAAAATAGTAATAACCTGTAGAGTAACGTAAAGTTCAACAATGGTAACGCTTACAAAGAAACTATACCACAGTGGGCGTGGTTTAAAAAACTAGACCGTGGTTGTGTGGGTAGTTGCGTATTTTGAAAGTTTAGCACAATTTTTATACTTAGGTAGTATAGATATCTAAAGAATCTATATAAATAAAATGTGGTGTGTGTGACAGCAATATGTATAAGTGAGACGAAAAACTGATCGAGTGTGTTATACATATGCGAAGCTTGTTATATGGTTGCATGTAGCATGTGCGTTGTGCATGTATGTGATGCTAATCCTAAATATACATGGTTTTGTATACCCGCTTGAAATATGTGCAATTCTACACCGTAATAACAGGAAAAACTCTATATTTTTCAAAATGGTTATTAAACCTGGGATAAGTTAAGCGAAGTTACATAGATGGGAAGGAAGGGTGAATAGGGGGTGGAGTATGTATGTGTGTAAGTAACATACCCGCCATCATCGGTGCCAAAGTCATCGAGCAGGTCGGTGAGCGCGTCACGGAACTCGATCATGCCCTGCGCCGGTAGCGCCACCTGTGAGCGCGGCCCGCCACGCGTTATGGTCTGTGACACGCGTAGAAAACGTCCGCGAGAGTTCTCCTTTAGATCCAGGTAGTACCGTCTGTTATCCTGCCGGATGTAACAAGCAATTACTAGTAAAGTGGGACTAATGCTAGACCCATTTGCGATAGTGGGAAGTTATCCATGGAAAACTCTCGAAACTAAACAAATTTTTAGTGATTTTTAGTTTAGTTTAGAGAGTTTTCGAACAACAGAATTAGCACTACTGTCAAAACAAATTACAACTATGTTGAATGCCTAAATCCACCAACATAACGGCTGAGGCGTAAGTGTTTGCGGGTTCGAATCCCAATACATTACCCTAACACATGCATTTAGTTTAGCTCGATGAGTCAAGAAGGTTACTATAGATAAATTTGTAATTCGTTTAGGGTGAAGGTGCGGGCTCTCCTTGACCGGAATGTAGCGGAATCATCACAAATATGATACTTTATATATTATGGTATATATGTATGTGTATATATATAATACAATATATATGAATATGAATGTATGTATTATTGTATGTATACGTTGTTATTTTTATATTATTTCGTTGCTTTTTCTCATATTATTTTGTTCTCTTCTCCTTCTGTGCGAGACAGTATTGCTAACATTACTTCTTTTATGTCCACTTCATAATTCTCAACCAAAGGGTAGTGCACCTCCACACTCATTTCCACACCACCCTAAGGTAGACCGGTAGAGAATGCCTATGGCATTAAGTCCGCCATTGTACTTATGTGCATAAAGTTATTAAATAAAATAAACCGCTTAATTGAGTCCTCGGGGCGGAGATAGGGCGAAAACGGAGACCGGGAGTGTGCGGGCGGAAGGCGACTTCTTTTCTTCTACCCCGCAGGACTCAGTTAAGCTGTTCATGGTTATGCGTAAACATGTACTCCTGTATCCTGTCCCGCAAGTGCTTATAGATTTTTTAGGTTTCCAGGTTACCCGCAAAAAATGTTTTAAAACAGTCCATAAGGCCCCGTCTGCACAGCGATATTTCACCGTTTATTTTTTCGCTAAATTCTTGCGTTCATTTTGTATCAAATTGCAGATTTTTTCTGCCACTGCGGATAGTCCTATATAGATCACCATGTGTAACAGAATTTTGCGAAATAAACGCGCGGTAAAATATCTTGTTTAAAGCGCACTTTTTTCAAACACAACAATTTTCATATAAAATAACACAGGTAAACTAACATTAGGCAACACGCTACATTTAATGGAGTTATTTCTCAGACCAGTGATCACAATCACACCAGTGTTGATATTTTAAATTATATTGGCGACACACGCTATTGCCTATAAAACGGTTTGCCGGTAAAATCCTGGTAAGTGTCTACTGCCGCGCAATCCAAGAACCCTTCCCCTCCTCCCTTCCCCCACAAATAATGGTTAACCAGTTCGCATCCCGCCGAGTGGAAATATTTATATGGATGTATATCTATATGCGTAGGTCTGACTCTATATATGTATTTAATAAATTCAATCAATTCATTTATAATATAAATTCTCATTTGTTGTAATACTATATTATATAAATAAGCTAAAGATTTTTTTTATTTGTTTGTCTTTTTAAACGCGCAAATTTCCGGAACTTTTTTTTTAAAGAGATCTCCCGCTTTAGGAATATATCGTGGGTCTGGGTGACACAAAGAACACCCAGACTCAGAACAACAATTTGTAGATCACACAAAGTATTGTCCCATGTGGGGTTTGAACCCACAACACTCGGCGTAGTAGGAAGCGGCTACGCTATCCGTGCTGTCACTTGGTGAATTTTTATAATTATTTACGTAATTAATAGCATATTTTCTTGAGGAAGAACAGGTATCACGCTACCGTCTGACATAACGGAACGGAATAGTTTACATAACATAGCACGGACCTTGAGCATCATTTCTGACTTGAGTTTCCCGTCGTCTGGCACATTGTCAGGGTTGGGGGGACCCAGTGACGAATAGTAATCACTGAAACTAGAGAGGTGATCTCGGAATTCCGCTGCTGTTGACATCGCCAAGAAGATCTGACTGCGCCGCCCGTCTGCGCCAATCTACAACAGAAAATACAGATAAAAAAACTTACTTATTGACAAATAATATTCATGGTACATTTACTGCTGAGCTGTGATGGCCTAAGGACTAGTCACGTAAATACCAGTATCAGTCAAAAACAAAAGCTAAGTAAATAATACAGTTATTGAGTTTTTGATTAACTCGAACAAACTAATATCAATAACAAAAAACAAAGACCTATTTCTAAGCGTTCCATGGATGCACCGTGCGGGTGACGGGTCCATCAATGGGGGCAGCACATGCGACTTCGACAGCGCCTGGGAATTGCGACCCAGGTATAGGTTTAGGGAGTACTCCTTAAATATTTGGATATATCTTACGAATTTGTCGATATGATTCACACACACAGTTTAACAGCTAACACCTTAGAGGCTCAAGTGTTTCAAGCTAGAGGAAGTGATGCAAAATAAAAAGATACTGAAGATGATTGACCCTGTTAGTCAGATTTAAATAATTATATTGGATGGACATCGAAAAACGTTCTAGGCTATGTATCTTCACTGTACGGTCTACATCATCTTACACATCTCACACACGACCGCCTGATCTCAAACTAGGCAGATCCTGTACTATGGTAACCAGACTGCTGATAAACATACTTATATATTTTTAAATTGATACATATTATAGATAAACTACACCCAGACACAGAAATTTCGAAAAATTGAAGAAAGAAAAATTGACCGTGCTCATTACACAATATTTGTCCCGGTTTAGCAGTCAGTCAGGGTCACTAACCACTAGACCAACAGACCCGTCAAAGGCCCGTAGTTGTAGGTAATCGTTTCAAAATTTTCAACTATTTATAAAAGATGGAGGAAGTGTGCCATCAGTAACGGCATTCTCTAAAAATCTAAAATTCCAAGCCTTTACAAGTAGGCGCAATGCTAACCATCCATTAGTTTAACATCGCTAGCATTTCATCACGAAACCTCATTCGTAAACAGTTCCAAGAATGCGTTAAATATATTATTCGCACTGGCGTTTTCTATTCACACAAAAAAGCACTTTTTTATTGACAATGGAATGTTCCGGTAGCGCGTGCTAAGTTACGGACGCGTCGTGATTTAAGGAGTTACGTATCACTACCAACTGACAACCTAACATAAATAAGTTTTTAAAAAGAAACATAATGAATCGTAATAATCATCAACAGCCTGTCCAGTGCTGGACATAGGCTTTTAGAAAGGAGGTTTTGTCCTTCTATACCACGTTGGCCAGACGGGTCGGTATTGGGTTTGTTTCAAGTTATCCTTCTCTTTGCAGTGCTGTTGTCCTAAGTAGTTTGCTCCCTTAGTTGGCTCTTACGACACCCACGGGATGACTAGGGCTGATGACACTCCGTATTCTTAATCAACTATGGATTAAGAAAGAAAGAAAGAATAAAGAGAACTCAACTATGGATTAAGCTCGCCTTTGCGATCATTATTCTTTTTATTTTTTATGTATATTTAGTAAATGTTTATGAAATGATAAAATAAAATAAATTTACTAATGATATCAAATACATTTATCTTGAAGCATTGCTCCTGACCATACATACGGCCGAACACCATGGAAAAACTGTATTCTTCATCCCCTAAATGATACCTTTTTCATCGATTTTATGACCAAATAGAAAGCACATAGTTCTTTTCTGATCGGAGAGTTCTGATGTTACAAACCAGTAAAAAAATACAGGCGAATTAAGAACTGCCCCCTATTTTTTAAGTTAAAAAAAGGAATTTTTTATCATATTTGATTCCAATACGATTAAACAAAGCCTGGTATTCTAATCTTAGTTTCAAAGAGGTAAAGGCCGTCTAGAGAACTATTTTTTTAAATTTTTTGTTTCTTTCCGTCATGTAACTATAAATGATTACGAAATCATTAATGATCGAAAAGCAGATGCTATGATAAATGATGCTATTCACATAATTTAAAAAGCATTTGCTGCCTATGTCAATTTTTTTTCCTGGGTCACGCCTAGTATCATCTGTTCTGTAGGTCTAATAACCTCAAGGCCAAGAGGACAATACAATAGAAATAACTAAAACGTTAACCATCAAACAGACTGTGTACACCAATTGTAGGATCATAAAAAAAAAGATTGGAGGCCATAACAGATAATTATAATTAAAATATGTTGGTTTATACCCTTAATAAAGACTTAACATACTGCTTTACCAGAATCTAGGTCATCCTGGGTTCAGAATCAATAAAGCTACACTGACCGATTTGATAGGAATCGTGTAACAGGATCTCTAGGTTTACTTAAACGTAGCTTGTCTATAGTATCAGCACTATTGGCATAACCTCATAATTATTAATATAAAGACGAGATTTAGTCAAAAATCCTTTGTCTCGAGCGCTATGTCGGACTTGAATTTCATCATTATCGCAAAGACATAAACGGTTTATGTATACTTATATACAGTTATGTACACCATAATACATAAATAGTTTAGATTTTTATCAGTCACTATCATAATCAGCTGTTTACCAAAACCTATCTTATCTGTTACATAACAATTACACACACGATATCTAAACAATGATTATTCATTTTTGATTAATTAATCATCTTGTTAATAGCATGTTACTTTCCCTGTATTGTTCGTTTTACGATCTGCGTTAATGGGTTTTATCATCTGTCTGGGGGTGTGCCATAATCTCGCTATATAGTGCACAGAATATTTAATAAGAATAAATAATAATCACGTCTCACATCTCTCAAACGACTGTCAAAAATAAATAGCGACTAGCAAAAATCAATACAAAACGAAACGTTTCACTGAATAAATGCACTTGGGTACATGCGCAATACAATATGTCTGTAGCTAACAGATCAAGTTGCAGGCTACCTTGACCAGCATGAGCTGTTAGTACTCCCCAATCCTCAAAGGCAATATCTCTCCTTCCTCTCCTTTTCCTGTCTTTTTTTATAAATGTTTCTATCTCTTTATCGATTTTTAGATACTAAACGACACCGTATTCAACGAAAAACTTCTTTGGACTATAATTTGCTTGCCCAGATTAAAATTTACTCCGTTTAGCGTTATTGTCATGAATCAGGGTCAAAACCGGTGCATATATTGGCATTTCATGTTCTCTCATTAAAACGCAGTAGTTAGAACGAGATGCAGCATGCAGTGCGATTCGGTGTGGACCTGCGTTCTAGACGCAGCACTAGATGTCATAGATCAATACAGTGTGTTGTGACGATGGGAAGAATTGATTTACAAGCCCTGACACGGTTAATATGAACTAGTATTGATCGTACATCGCTTTTTTATTGACACGTAATAAGGCAAGCACGTTTACAGCTATATTATGAATAGAACGGGGAACGGATTGCATAGTACATTATAGTTCATCCAGCGATAGTCCGGGAAGGCTTTATTCGTACGTTGGCATGTAATTAATTTCATTTTATGGCTCCAGGCAGGAGGCAAGCCACAGCAATAATTCTTCACCGACTCGTAAAACACCAGCACACGATAAACTTCGGCTGAGCGAAACTCGTGTCATAAAGTTAAGCTTCTGAGTAAATTCCAAGAGGTTAATTGCGAAATCTATAGAAATATGTTTAAAAATAAATAAAATCGAGAAACAGTGGAAATGATCTACCATCTTTTGGACTATACATTGGGTTACAGTTCTGTGATTACTTTATATCCTAGTATACTTTAAGATAAGGTGGCAATAAATTGGCTACAGCTGTCAGTTCAGTCAGATCTTTAGAGAAAGAGTCCTAGAGAGGAAACAACAGGTAACATTAGAGACTATTAAAGTATTATAAACATCAGCAGTCATCAAACAGCCTAATATATACAGCAGATTTCTTTAGTAATTTCTTTTCATCATCAACAGCCTTTACTAGTCCACTGCTGGACATGGGCCTCTTCTTAGAAAGAAGGTTTTTTTCTTTTGATGATTCGTATTGATAATTTCAGTTACTTTTTCTTTTTTAAGGCTTACTAGCAACCGAAATTACTAGTATTCCCGTTAACCCGTCCAGCTAAGCTAAATTGCTTGTATTAGGAGTGGGTTCACGTCGGTAGTATACTGGTCAGGATTTGAGCCCACGACCTCTTGATCGCAAGTCCAATGCCATAACCACTAGGCAACCGCTAAGTGTTTAAGCGGAATAGTAAAATACCAGTTTTAATAAATATTTCTTGACAGGTCTACTACCAGACTCCAGACCCATTGTAATTATATGCAAAACATACGTAACGGCCCTGGTGTTACAAACTTGCATAACCTACGGTTTTTGCTGACTATGAGCCGGTATCCGATCGATCCTCTCTCTAGTGTAGCCTAATCCTTAGTGATATATAAATCTCTAAACAGATTTAGTAGTTTTTTAGTCCAATAAATTTCTCTACGAAGGTAATAAATCACTACATACGTACACACTCAAGCCTATATCTCCGAAGGGTTAGGCAGGGGTTGTAAACACCCACAAATACACCAATATACGTAATTATTCTGATAAGGACCAAGTTAAAGCAAAGTTCTTTACGAGAGATCAAGACACGGAAAGGACCAATACAGGCCAGCTTTGACAAATTTACTAATGAAGAAATCCTCATGGAATTTGTACAACAGAATAAAAATATAATACATACACATACCTACATACATATGTTACACACGGCCGTTTGATTCCAAAGGCAGAGCCTATACTATGGTACCCAAACTGCTGATAAACATACTTTTCTAAATAAATATATATATTTTAGATAAATTATGATCGTGCTTATTACACAATATTTTTCTTGGGTGGGAATCAAACCCACGGCCTCTGGCTTAGTAGGCAGCAAGGATCACTAACCACCAAGCCCAGGTTAAACAAAAAAAAACCTTATGTACCTGTGGATCATGGGGTGGTCACTTACCTCTGCGACCTTAATGAACCTGCCCCGGCGGTTCTGCTTCACGTCCAGATAAAACCGTTTGGACTGGATCTGTAGCATCTTCGTCGCCAACTCCTGCTCCTGTGGCTGCTGACCTGCATACCAAAGATATCATTTCAAAAACAATAAGGTGATCTGTCAATATAAGGGTAGCCAGAACATAGTGGAATAAAACCTTTTCAAATACCGTACATCCCTTAAATCGGCGAAGCATCTTTGATAAAAAGAAGGAAATAATTGCTGTTTTCAGCGAATGTTCTTTCTTATAGGACATAGCAGACCCTTACTGTTCGCAACGGTTAATATATAAAAATTAGTTTAGGAGAAAATTTCTGAAGTAAAATAGGAATAAAACAAAAATCTAAGAATCTAACTTCAGAATTTCTCATTAGTTGTTTTGCCTACCTTTCAAAATTTAATAGAACCATTAATCATTTTTATTGGATAGGCGATACCTTCTTTATTAATAAGTAAATAAAACAAAAACCATAAAAATCTCTACACAATCGGCCGAGATATCGCAACCTATATACAAGAACAAATAATTAGTTACCGAACAAATTGTACTTCGCATACAAGATTTTCACCACAATATTATTAATTAAAACATGTTTCATTGTAGGTACAAACACAGATGAAAATATGTGTTTGACAAAAACGGGCATAAATGTTATTTTATGGCTACTATAAACCTCCTTTCTAAGGAGAGGCGTATGTCCAGCAGTGGACTGTTAAAGGCTGTTGATGATGATGATGATGGCTACTATAACCAATGATCTTTATAATTTATCATTATACGAGTATTATCTAATGAATATTTAATTCAGAATCAGTATCAGCTCAGGTCTTATGACTTTATTTTTAAAACCATTTTTCTATTAATTTCATTTTTGAAGAACCCAAATCTAAAATCGGCTTTCGCGGTTCCATTACTGGTTTCAGGTAGGTACTCAAACATACTCGCATTCTGCAGTAACTTAACTCATGCTGACTGCTGGTCAAAAGAAGATTTTTTTTTTCTGATAGCACGGACCTTGCCGATAATTATCCTAGAAATTTACCTTCCTCGAATATGTCACTACAGACTTGCCAAATTCCAATCATTCTTTATCAAGAGGAAATAATATTCTATAACAAAACAGTGTTCAATTATTTAGAAATCGACTTTAGATACATGAATTACGTTCGGTGCACGCAACGTGCCGCTCCACTGCACCGCGCGGTTTGCGCATCGAGTTTCGACAACGCCCCTGCCCTCACTCCGTCCACATTCGCCCCGATCGTTCACACTCGCCCCTCGTCCTAGACTTAAAGCAAATTTCCCGCCAGCTAGAACTAATTTGTTGGTGTGCAGACAGTTTGCAACGAGATAGCAAAAGGGCGCGGCTCTGTTACCAACTGTGATTTGCTATCACAGTTGGTAACAACATTCTAGCATTAGAGGTTATTATAATCGTTTTTTTTTAATAGACAAGAATAAAGATGTTTTACCAGAAACAGCTTTATTGGTTCTGCCTTTCGTTATACAGAATTTGTCTGCAAATATGTTTATATCACAGCAATAATAGAGTATAGTAAGTTACTAAAAATGATAAAAAAGTCAATTCAATTAATTTTATATTGATTGAACAATTCGTTTTCGAGAAAACTATGTTACGGTTAACAGATGCTGCTCGTTAGGCACGGTCACCATCCCTTACCACAGCAATCAACCATGTGGCGTGCTCCCTACAAAGGCTGTTGCCTAATCTAGGGGGCCCCCGGGAGGAAGTTCGCCGCCTCGACTGTGCGGTGATACGATCCATGGCCCTCCACGGAGTGCCGATATGGGCAAAGCGCTTATCGGCCTCCTCCCGCTGCCGAGCTAAGCTCAATCAAGCGCAGCCATTCGGATCGTATACGCCCTATACGTTTGTTTACCATAATTTATCTTCTTTAGTCCTGCCTGAAAAGGATTACATTGCCAAGAACGGTTAAAGTCAGACAAGAATATGGCCATAAAAAAATCCTTCCACCTTCTTCAAGAATCCGCTTCTTAACATAAATACTTTATTCAGAAACTCTTAATAAACTCAAAAAGTCTTTAGCCATTTGCCTTATCGTTTAAATGGAAAACCTGCTTTACTACTTTCCATGTTTCTTTACCTACAGTTACAGTATTATTTAAAGACAAAAAAATCATTTAAATCATTTTTACATACATAATACCTCAGCACAGCTATATATTCAAATATATTTTGTATGCTTTATACACGTGGTTCCAATTAATTATAATAATTTAATCTACAACCAAATGCCACGAAGCGTAATAAATAAACAGTCCCAGACGAGTTTTTATCACGTTTAAGCTGCAAAAAGTGGGTAAAAAATTTAACATTCTTCTACAATTATCCATTGTTAATAAGATACCAGTTTATACTGCAATTATTACCGTATTTTACGAAACTGGGATGGCATAAAATCACAATCACCAGTGATAAATCATAATGAACAAATATGTGACTACTTACCAAATCACTGCGACTTATGATTATGATTACAAATCAGTCTTTTATAGAAAATTCAATATAAGGATTTGGTTTTTTCTTTGCAGTTGTTCTCTGAAGTTTTGATGGCTTTGCTGAGCACAGAAAAAGATTTGCACAGAAAGAGCACAGAAAAGACAAAACAAAAAGTTAGAGGTTATGTAAAAAAAAGCATTTTTGTAATAGTTACGCTATCGCATTAGGACATACCTGTAATGATAGTAGTAAGTGTGGATACTAAATAAATAAATAAATTTATCACAGATGAAATCGCAGTGATCAAAACCAAACATTTTATCATATGATTGTTATATAATGGTAGCAATACTTTCCATCACCATACAAAACCTTTTTACCCGACTGTGTCAGAAGGAAGGTTGTCTTTCAGTATTTATGTATGTATGTTTACTGCTTTGATACAAGGTGTAGCCATAACAGCTTTTTTTTGTAGTGGTGGCTGACAAGCAGACGCGTCCCGATGGAAAGTGACCATCGCCGCCCATGAACGATTTTGGCATTTCAGGTGTCGTTAGAATCAACTTAATTGCGTGACTGTTATATGTTAAAATTCTAAAAATAGAAAACACACAGGTTTTAATTTCAAGTATACATTTTCAGTCGTTATTTTTTTAATAATTAGCTTGTTTTTTTTATATTGTCTTATTGTTTGTACTAGTTACAGGTTACCAAAGCCTTATTTAGGAAGAAATATCGTTGGGAAAGAACAAAAGAATACCTTGGTTTCGTGAGTAACCAAAATTAATATCAAAATCATCAAATTACTGTAAGGTTGGCCGTGTGCTTATTTGCACACTTAGCTTTTTTTATAGTATAAGGGGAAAAACAAGCAGACGGGTCACCTGATGGTAAGCAACTACCGCCGCCCATGGACACTGCAACTCAAGTCCCAAGTGCGTTGCTGCCCTTGGAGTCCCTCCCGCTCAAGTCAGAGGGACCGGTAACCTCACTCACTCAGTGAAAGGCAACGAAAGAATTGCTTAATACCGGTTTTCTAGTTATATAAAAGTAAATTATGACAGAGTTTGACAAATCATATAAATAATTTACTTTTTTTATCCAGTGCCCGCGGACATCGACTATCAAACAAAGCTAGCAGTAAACTATTATTATTTTATCAGCCTCTGGAAGAATAGAGAACGGAAGTTAACCTATAATTATCCACTACAAGCAATTTTGACTGTACAATCCATCTATAATTTACTGAACTACTTCTCTGGTCAGATCCTGTGATCATAACCATTTAACAAGAAATATTGTCTATCATTCTTCTACTAGACGATTCAAGGACCTTGACAAAATGGCAGCCTCTTGATAAGCCACCACTACAGCCCTAAGACAAAATCTAGTAGACCAAACGATCCTTTCTAAGGGTAGGCCTACGTCCAGCAGTGGACTTTAATAGTGTCGATGATGACGATGAACAGACACAAGACAAATTTATAGGAGATCTTTGTTTCTCCTTATTGGTCACCTAGAGAGGTTGGCAAGACGAGAGTATTTGCTAGGTTTTTCAACCGCAAAATTCGTATTTCTGAGGATTTTAGAACAACTTAACACCATAAATCGATGCTTTATAGTTGTGAAAGGTGCAAAATGCTAAGATAGGTCCCTTAGTGTCAGGTTAGATGGTGGTAATAATTCAAAATCTAAGTAAGGACTAAGATTTTGAATTATTAACTTAGCCGTGGCTTTGGGTCTAGGACTCACACAAATAACTTTCAACTACATTTAGCAGTGAAATTATAATGGCCAATATGATTAAAGACTCTTTGAACCAGCATAAGGTATTACAAGAATTCCTTGCAAAATATTTTGAAGATAACCTCCTCTTCTGTATTTTTGAAGTCGGTTAAAAAGGTATATTTTTTGTCTCTCAGAACTTTTACAATCAAAATTTCGAATTTTTAATACCAAATCTATTTCTCCATTTTAGACATGTTAGACAATATACGTATAGTCACGAAACATCACGAACATTCCAGAAAATTCTTTTAACCGCGCAATTCCGGGAATCGTTTAATAATAATGCATGTTGGCACGAAACAATAAGTTTTATATCAATACTCATACGATCGAAAACAGAATGTTGCGCAATTATCTGGTTTACATTCGAAACGAATTTGTATATCTCAGAAGCGGATGGTTCTCGTAGGGATTGGAATTTGCTAGAATGATCCTTTACGAGTATTATAAATACGGACGTCTTCGTTGAGATCAGTTCAATTCGAGCCACAGTGCGATAAACATCGAAGCGATTGAAGGGAATAGAAGTGTGAAGAAGTCAGTGTTGTTAAACGTTATGTGTAGTGATAATTAAGTCTCTTTAGTCGTCAAAAGGTTTATTATTCCAAATGAACGAACCCTAACACGTAACAGTATTAATATAAAAAGTATACATTATGTTGGATTTCATAAATATTAAAAAGCAATATAACATTTTCAAGGTTCTTTTGCGTTCAAGGCAATTTCCTGTAATGTTTTAAATATTTCATTTTTTTGGACAAAAGGAAAATGATTTTAGGTCGATCCACAGAATAGCTTACATTTTTTCAAGTCTATTTCAAGTCTATATTGTCCGCGTGGTGACGGATTAAGAATACAAATTGTCACCACCTCAATTCATCCCGTGGGTGTCGTAAGAGCCGACTAAGGGAGCAAACTAAGCAGGACAGCACCACTGCAAAGAGAAGGAAAACTTGAAACAAACCCTATACCAACCCGTCTGGCCAGCGTGGTATAGTAGGCCAAAACCTCCTTTCTAAGGAGAGGCCTATGTCCAGCAGTGGACTATTAAAGGCTGTTGATGATGATGATGATTGTACAATAAATAAATTATAAATATCCTAGAACGGTGAAGGAAGAACTGTCTCCTTTCACTTTTCCATAATATTCTCGAATGTGACTTCTGCTATCTGCAAAAGCTACGTAGTCTACAGGATTTAACCTGCCCCATCCCTAAATGGAAGGGTATCCTTACTCTTTGTAAGTAAAGGTTTAGACTTGGCTCATCTTATCGACAGACTTTTAGAAAATAATAGTATTTTACTAGTGGTCTCATCTTATTACTGGATGGCGTTATTTTAGAAAATTTCACAAACTACGAACGTTTTACGATCATCATTTATTGATATTTATCTAAGACTTTTTTTTTTCAATATTAACCTCACACACGGCCGTCTAAACTAAAACTAGGTAGAGCCTGTACTATGGCATCCGGACTGCTGATAAACATACTTTTTACATTTCAATGACAGAACAAATGATCGTGCTTATCACACAATTCTTGGGTGGGAATCGAACCCACGACCTCTGGGTTAGCAGTCAGGATCACTACCACAAGATCGACAAACCAGTCAAGTGGAGGACTTCGTCGTTTCTTCTTAGGGTATACTCAATACTCAAGGGTAAGTCCCTAGCAATAGACTCACATAAGACAGAACACCATTGTGGTATTTAGTCGTTTAGATTCCGACTCAAAATCCCAGTGATGACCCATGGGACTTTATACATGATAAAAAATTTGTTCGTTTATTTTTTTTATGTATGCTCACCGGTGTTGCTGTCATAGTACCCATCAAGTAGATACCTATTGGGCTTAGCTAGCTTAGCGGTTAAGTTTATTTTATTATCTTTTTATAGGTTACTAGCTGACCCGCGCAACTTCGTCTGCGTCTCTCAATAGTAATAATTTTTCTCCGTTTTTGAAACATTCTTCATTGGTGCTCCGCTCCTATTGGTCTTAGCGTGATGATATATAGCATATAGCCTTCCTCGATAAATGGGCTATCTAACACTGAAAGAATTTTTCGGACCAGTAGTTCCTGAGATTAGCGCGTTCAAACAAACAAACAAACTCTTCAGCTTTATAATATTAGTATAGATTATAGTAAGTTTATTATAAATATATGAGTTTATCCCATAGTACAGGCTCTGCTTAGTGTGGGATCAGACTGCCATGTGTGAGATAATATGTTAAGTCATTATTTATATCTATACTAATATTATAAAGCCGAAGAGTTTGTTTGTTTGTTTGAACGCGCTAATCTCAGGAACTACTGGTCCGATTTGAAAAATTCTTTCAGTGTTAGATAGCCCATTTATCGAGGAAGGCTATAGGCTATATATCATCACGCTAAGACCAATAGGAGCGGAGCACCAATGAAGAATGTTTCAAAAACGGAGAAAATTTATTACTATTGAGAGACGCAGACAAAGTTGCGCGGGTCAGCTAGTTTAAAATGTTTTAGAACCTATAGACGAGCGTAAAATTTGCTGCCTTTTGAAGTCGATAACGCTCGTTTACATTATATATTATACCTAAAAGTTTAAGAAATCTGAATACAATTGCCTCTTGAAAATCAAATATAAGGCGATACTTTCTAAAATGAATTATATTTGTATCGGATAAAACTATGCCAATAATAGACTAATAATCACTTGCAAAGTGAAAAAGAAAAGTAAATGAAATTCATCATCATCATCAACAGCCCTTAACAGTCCAGTGCTGGACCTAGGCCTCTCCTTAGAAAGGGGATTTTGGCCTACTATACCGCGCTATTAAATTAAGTGTGGCGAATTGGTTTAATTTATTAAGGAAAAGGTATCAGGCAATTTCCCTTCTAAACGTTACTCTTGACTGGTTTGCACCCCGACGCCCGCAACCAGGGTTCGAAATGTTTTACTATAAAGCGTCGTACGAGTATATAATAAAATAATATTTTTGTATAACGCTTTTTTCGGTCAATTATAGTTTTGAAAAATTTATCATTTGTAGTATGTATTTAATAATATGGAAAAATATATAATTATTTTTAAAGGATAATGTTATCTAATGAATTAATTAGTGTCTAACCAGTATAAACTAGCTATGTTTCATTACAGGAAACAGTAAAACGGATTTTTGAAAAATAAAAACACTCATTTTAGGAATTATAAGTAAGCGCTAGTAATATAAATTTTAAACCTTATATGAGTAATAAATAAATATACATGAAAATTAAAAAATGAAAGGTTGTATCACCAGGTAAAACTCTAAAAATTTTTCATTTTCAGCCTAGCACATAACGCTAAAAGTAACATAAAATGCTAAGTTTTATGTTACTCGCAGAGTATGAGAACATAAAATATTACTACACCTGTACGTAACACGTCATTTATTATGATCCTCAATAAACTGTGACAAATCTTATTCGTAGAGAGAAAAAACGAGTTACACATACATAAAATAGTAGTCTTAAAACAATAATGACTATACTTGCTAAGAGTAAAACACAATATGTATCCAGCCCTTCAGATTAATGTTTGGAGTATTACAAATTCAACTGCAGCTGTCTTAAGACCATATTAGTTAGAGCCTGAAAAGCTCTTTGTAAGGTTCTTATTCTTTACGGCTATAAGGCCAGGGACAGGAACAAATGGGAAAAAAACCGTAAACACCGAAGTTAAGCAAATTAAATTAATAAAACTTCTGATCAACCAAAGCCCAAAGTATACAGACTGAGTTGCAGACGTTCATGGGCGGCGATAGTCACTGCATCAGGTGACCCGACTGCTCGTCTGCCCCCTCTAACATGAAAAAAAAATGGCAATCTATTGCTTCAACTCAACTAGGAGTAGAAGGATTGGTTGGTTTATCGTCTCCAACTCTTTAATCGTCATCTGCTGCTAAGTGTTTAAAACATCAAGTTCCAAAATTTAAAGTACTACTTCGAGAACCAAATCCATTAAATGCTTTTAAAAAATATAAGCTTTAAATAAAATTAGTTTATCATTCAATTAGAAATTTTGATTCTCATAACATGATCCTTACCGGCAAGCACTACACTATTTTGTGTGTGTACCTCGAAGTGGGACCAAAGTGTTGGTAGATGCTATCAAAAGTAAGACAAATCCGTCTGATCACGTTATGTCAGTTGTCGTAAATTGGAAAAATGAATCTCAATCAAAAGCTGCTTGGAATCGAGACGCTAAACGAGATTATCAAAACCACTTAAGCCAAAATTTCTTCAGTCCATCTCGTCCCCCGCGCTGTCTTCAAATTATGGTTTCATTTATCAGGTTACTACCGGACTGCACTTATTACATTTTTACTGTAGCAATCTGTTAATTTCATCTATAGAGTCATATGAGCGCTCAACTTTTCGCATCAAATTAGCTTTTGAAAGACTGACAAGCATCTATCAGATGTTCCGTCATAAGGTATTTTGTAGTATCATCATCTGGTTAAATCCTGTTACAAACAAATGAGTCCAATTGCTTAAATTTTCGGATACCCATCTCAACGCACCTTAAGTTTAACCTATCGCATAATAATGATAGACATAGTGGTTTAGCTTATTATTTATCAACTTACCGGAGTCAAAATTGTTCCCGCCTGCGTCCATGCCTTGACCATGATATTCTGTAACATACCAAATATTAATTATTAAAAGTACTAAATAAAAAAGTAAAACACGGGAGAAAATAGCACTGCATAACTTCCACAATTGAAATTATTTTCATACAATAACGTTTTGATAGTCTATCTTTCAATTTGCTAAAGCTTACGTCTTCAAGGCTCATTAAAACTGGTTATATAGCTAGGCCAGACAAAATAAGTAAGTTTGGCAGTCTTTCACCTTGGACGTCTGATGACTTTTTTGTATGATTACAATCATTACATTACCATAGGACAGAAATAAATTAAACACTTATGTATTTATCAAGTTCTTTATTTGCGAATTTTATACAGTTTATGGAAATTATATTATCTAAAATCTGTATTATTAGTACATGTTTATGTTAAGTGTATATGAAATTTAGAACTTTGTCTACAGAAGGGAACATGAACATTAAACGTCTTCGACTAAATATTGTTAGTGATTTGGATAATGTGGATTATATTTAAACATTGAAGAATAATGGACCTTAGAATTGAGCATGTGGAGAAACAGCAGTTATTCTGATGCCTTACAATTCTGAGAAACTTTTACCCTAGAACATTTGCTAGTCCTCAACTAAAATGTTTTTATCAGTGGAAAAAGGACATCCACAAAAACAGAACAGGTGTAGGGTATTCATTCAAGGCTTGAATTCTTTTGACGGAACTGCTGCGGAACTTACATATCCTATACTCTATACCTAGTAACTGGTTAGGTACGCAAACTGCACACCAGGACACGGAAACTAGGGCGGCGCTGTATTCGTACTTTGGCTAATAAATTCAAGAAATAATTAGCGTTGTTGCAGTTAGGCAACTTGCACGCAACGCATGCTTTATTTAATTATTCAAACTCGCTCCATTAGCCGATATAATAACTGCAGGTGTATAGTACATAACTTGGATGTATGGAGCAACCGTATTCGGATTGTGGACGTTTTTTTATATAACTTACATAGGTAGTACATAGTAGGTTACGTGGTAAAAGTAACTTTATTTACCTAAAACATTAATTTCCACATCTACGTTACGGTTACAAGTTGAAGCAAAATTTTTTTTCAACTACCCACGCTTTGTGATGTAAACACAAGATTAATGAAGTGGTTTACTCCGTAAAATGTCTGCTGCGAAGGGATAAATATAGTACCAAGGGTCTGGATCGATTGATGGGTGTCTGGCAATAAGAACAAAAGAATGACATGTTCAAAGCGTTCATAGATTGATTTCTATTTAAGCTCTCAATCGAAACAAGCACGTATGTTGTATTTAGGGATGCGCAATTAGGCATTGTAATTAAAAATGATGAAATAGCTACAGTGAATGGATTTTAATGATTTCTTGTTAAAATTCTAATGCCATAAAGTAAAAAAATGCCTTAAACCCATAAAACTTGCAGTACTGTACATTACTGCCTTTTCTAGTAGAATATTTAGATGTACGAAATTTAAATAATAATTTAACTTGTATATAGTATAGAGCAGCTGTTTCTTCACCTTCAAAATACTTTGGTGTCGGGTTTGAGTACCATCACTTATGGTGTCTCCCACTGCAACTGTCTCTCCTCAACAGTCCCTTTTACCTTTAGTTATATCTACAACACCTTATCATTTTATGTTTATTTTCTGTTGTGTACTTTATAGAACTTTCAACTACTATCTATATTTAAAATAAATATTATTGGCTAACGACCAAAGAAAATCATTCATCTTTTAAAACGATAATAAAAGATCTCCATAAACTACGCAGACAGTGGTATGATTAAAAGGTAACACAATTTAGAAACGAAAACCCCGAAAACCTCTAATACTTTTTTGCAAAAAGATTTTTTGCTTTTGCAATGTTACGCCGACATTGCAAAAGCAAAAATTTTTGTGTTAACTGCAATCCGCCTGAAATGGCTGTCTGGAAAGCGACCGGAATTATCGTCAAAAAGATTGCACGATCTAATTACGAGTGCTGGTTAAAACGTATGTATTCTATATCGCAGAAATTGCCATAATTTATTACAACGAACAGGTATGCAAATAGAGTTGCCGCATGAATACGTCAGTTTGTTACTATGTTACATAAAATTCACTCACGAGTTGCCCTATACTTAATTCGATTATGGCGAAATTATCCCAGTTTTCAACGCTTATCAGTCATATTCATGTCAGTATCCAACATAACAGATGATTTAGCAATATGGCATATAGTTTTAGCCTCGGTTGAAGATTGACAAATGATCATACCCGTTACTAAACGTCTCCGGGAAGTAGCCTTGTCGAATTAGAACGAGCTTGGTCTTCGACTAGCGTAATACATAACGGACTACTGCCGCCTTTTAGTACTTAGATAACATACGGATGACGAGTTACAGTTACAAAAGAGTAGGCATATACACGTGGATAGTGTTACAATGAACACCGACACCGGTGTGACTACGATTGCACAAGCCGCGCTGAACCGGCAAGTGCCAAATGTGCGTTGATTAGCGACCAATGCTGTCTCCATGTGCGAAATGTTACACACAACTGGTTTTAATATTACCAAAGAATATTTTAACACATGCCGCTGAAAATTAACAATTTAGTCACAAGAGATTCGAACTAACCAACCAAGTTATAAAGTCTAGTCACTCAGACACAACCAGTCATTAAAATGGCTCATTAATTTTTTTAAACAGTTATAGTCAGGCATTGACGTGAATATGTACAGAAACCTTGCAAAGAAATACAGAGACAACGACGCAGACTTGTGGCCTCGATGTCCTTGAGAACTGTCTGAAGCTGTGTTATATATTTATTAGCCACCCTCTCACTTTTACATAAATCCAAGCAGCCGTCTGGCAGGAACTCACATAAAAAACCCATTCGCATAACGCTCATAAATACAGTAACAATATTGTAATAAAATTAGTTAATACTTCAGGTGTAGTTTATCCTTTATTGGTGGGCTACGTTTTATTGCTTAGAAATTGTAAACCTCGCTGCTCTATAGTTTAAACTAATATCTAGTCATGTTACACATAAATCGTTGTGGTTAAGACATAATATTAGACTTGCAACGAATAGTATATTCGGCAGTATACCGAATACCGAATATTCGGCGAGGCCCCTGACCGAATAGCCGAATATTAGGCAAAAGTATTCGGCTGGATTTTAGCGCCAAAAACTTGTACAGACGTGAATTAAATTATGTACCTGTTTTATGTACCAATGACTACTTAATAAATGATTATAAAAGAAATGAGAACCTTACTCTTCTAAATTTTGATTACCACAATAATTCAAATACATAGAATCCTCCATTTTTCCAATTCAGAAGATGATTATGTACCTGTGTTATGCACCAATGACTACTTAAATGATTATAACAGAAATGAAAATATGAATATATACGTAATCAATCGATTTTAATTTTTCATTTTACCAATTATTTCTCAATGACAAAATATATTATTTAAGTATTCGGTATTCGGCCGAATAATATGTAGATATTCGGTATTCGGCCGAATATAATAAAAGCAGCCGAATATGCCGAATACCGAATAGTAACCGAATATTCGTTGCAAGTCTACATAATATGCCAACAGTAATAGGTGTATTAATAACAGCCCTCGTAGGAAGTCATATCGAATGAGGAGTTTCTAATACTGAATCCCACTAATCCTAAGTCCTATAAGTTAAGACTAGAATGTCTAAGTGTCATACGTAGTGTGTGGGATATCATATTAGCCAATAGATCCATTTCTCACGTGACTATTGAATAGTGTCTAATTTAATGGCTTTTCTGTCTTTCCCACTAAACTAGTGAGTAGTTCTTCTAATTTGCTTAGAAGTTGTAGATTTTAAAATATAAAAATTCGTCCCATATATATGCCGTCTAAACTTAGATACGTTCCAGAGAACTGAGGAATCAAAATGTAGGGCGTAGTCATAAAACTAAGAACGAAGCAACCGCGATAGAACTAAATGCTTACACGATTTTTTATCGCCTCAATCTTTTCCTTTGTTTCTAATATATTGGCCAGCGTAAATACTAGATGCGTTATACAAGATTATGGCAAATTAATGATTGCCGTCAAAACATACATGACATGCGTCAAACGAACTTATTTAGTATTATTACAAATAACAGTAGCAGCTCCTGTAGACAGGCTGTCCAATAAAATCGACAGACGCGTAAACATTAAGTCCTAATCAAACAACGTAAGTTCAATTTTAAATTCGCCTAAACAATAACTACTGCCGAATGGGGCCCCATCTAGGGTGACTATTACAAAGCCAATAGCGACCAATAAGGTTTAAGAGTGTGTGCCAAGAGACATTATAAGTCGTTATGTAAGTAGTTCAAGGCAGGTCATTGGCAGCGGACGATATTGTTGCAGACATAAACCAGACGTGCAAAAAGTGAAACCTGTGTTTTTCATAAAAAATAAACCACGAGAAGTTAATAATGAATGAACATACGAACCGCTACTAGCATTTGAGATCACGGCCGCAGATTTTTAACTGATCCGTGAGCTTCGTTCAACTTTTCTAAATTTTGCAGACGGATTACAACATAACCTACCTGAGAGACAAAGCCTCGCTTGTGCCAAAGTCGATTGTGAAGTGAGTGACGTAATCAAGGCGTCTGTCGCGTCGACTTCTTCGCAGACAGACTTACGACCAAACCGGTGTCGGACAGTCAATTCGTCTGGCATAACCACGACATCAACTTTGATAACTTATAAAAAAGGTATATTTTAGCATGAATGGTTTCTGTCTATTTCCCATACACTGTGACCCCTTCTGCCATTCATAAGATTAAAATCCTGCAGCTGTTGGTAGCTATACCAAAGTTGTATAGTTTAATATTGAGACATACGTTTAACGGTCCTATGTAATGATGTATTCGATGACAGCGTCATTATAATCGTTTATAATTTCATACGATTTATCTACATAATAGTTATAAATTAGTAGGAAGTAGACACGTTGAATAAATTTGAACTGTTA